GTAACCATGTTTTTTGTTTCTTCCCATTACAGAGTCCATGAGCCATCAAGCACATCATCTCAAACTTAAAATAATATAGGCATTTTGAAGCACATAGCATTAAATTTCCTTAGAGTTTATTTCCCATTGCAGCCAAATTTGGTTGCTGTGGTAGACAAATTACAGATTCTGCTTTTAAGACGCTGTCTATTGCCAGTACTCCCTCCGGTCTTTTTTTTTTTTTTTTTTTTTTTTTTTTTCAGTTTTTTCAAGACAGGCTTTCCCTGTGTAGCTTTGCGCCTTTCCTGGAACTCACTTTGTAGACCAGGCTGGCCTCAAACTCACAGAGATCTGCCTGGCTCTGCCTCCCGAGTGCTGGGATTAAAGGTGTGCGCCACCACCGCCCGGCTGCCCCCTCGGGTCTTATATTCTTTGTAAAGAAGGGAAAAACAAGGAATATTCAATCTCTAGAACTAAATGAAGAAGTCCTATCAGTATCATGTTAGAAATAAGCAAGCTGTGATCTCTGGAATTTAGAGACTTATCCTGTGTCATGCATGTCCTTTTGGACAAGCAGGAACTCCATCTCTCTAAACCACATTTTACATTTTTGAACATTATAGATTCCTATTTATTGATAGAAAATTTTAATAAGCTATTTCAATTAATAATTATTACATCTTATAATGTGGCTGAAATTATAAACTATGTACTGTTGTTTCACTCTAATAGCTGATAGATGAAATACAAACTTGACTGTTTCTCAACTTCTATTACTAACCCTCAGGAATTTAAAAGGGGCTGAAGAATATTTACATTACTTTTCTTGGCCTGGAGACCTGAAAAATACATATAATATATGAGCAATCATTAAATGTCAAACCAATTTTTATTCAGTAGAGTTTTGAAAGCATGTATAAACCTTTAAGTGTGAAACAAGAATGCTATTTAAATCAGGAGGGAATGTCATCTTTCCCAGTGCCCTTGTTAAACACTGCTCTAATGTCATACAACATGTAATTTTGAAAATTAACATAGATTAATGAAAAATGTCCAAATCCTGCAATAAATTTCATTTTTACCTCTAGTCATAACTTCCTTTTTGATGACCTTTAATTCAGTTTCTAAGCCCATATATATATGTGCTTTGTCAAACTTTCTTGTGTAATAGAAATGTAAAAGAGAAAAGGAAACTGCAAAATACAATAAGACAATGAGGAAGAATTTATTACCACATAGTTCATTCATCAGATCACCCTGGTGAATTGTCACTCTTACTAGACTTTAGAAAATATGGAGATCTACAAATTGAAAGTAGAACTCTAGCCAGAAATTTATTTAAAATTTATTTATAAAAATGTGGTAATTAGCCGGGTGGTGGTGGCGCACGCCTTTAATCCCAGCACTCGGGAGGCAGAGCCAGGCAGATCTCTGTGAGTTCAAGGCCAGCCTGGACTACCAAGTGGGTTCCAGGAAAGGCGCAAAGCTACACAGAGAAACCCTGTCTCGAAAAACCAAAAAAAACAAAAAAAACAAAAAAAAAAAAAATGTGGTAATTAAGTATTCTGAATTGGATATTTGCACGTTTCTCTTTCATTTTTTTTTTGTTGTTGTTGTTTATTGGTTGTTTTGTTTTGTTTTGTTTTTTGGGACAGGGTTTCTCCGTGTAGCTTTGGTGCCTGTCCTGGATCTCCCTCTTTACACCATGCTGGTCTCAAACTCATAGAGATGTGCCTGGCTCTGCCTCCCAATTGCTGGAATTAAAGGCATGTGCCACCACTGTCTGGCTCAACTCTTTTTGTATTAATACAGAATTGAATTATTTGGGCCAACATTGTGAACTTTTACTTGGAAGAAGTTTAAAAAGCAACCAAAAATAATATTAAAATTGTTTTACAACTTGCACTAGAAAAATTGTCTTCAAAATTCCTGGCACGAATGACTGATTTACCCATGGAAACATTATAACATTGTATCATGTGTTTACATTAAGTACATCCTCTTTCAGTGAACAGCCAATATCAAGTAGATGGTCACTAAGCACTCACAATTTACAAGTTGAGAGGAAAAAAAGCAGTGAAGTAAATAACACAAGTATGAGATAGATTGCAAATCACTGTATATTGACTATATTTTGGTAGAAAAAAACAATAAAGAAGAATGGAAAACCATGATGTAAAGAGATTTTCAGGAGTACAGAGATAATACTTTCTTTTTTCCACATAGAGAGGCTGTTGCAAACACTTGGTTTGGAAATTAAGTGAAAGGTATAACGCTTGGACAGGAAATCACCTCATCAAACATGCTCTAACACAAAGCTGGGGCTGGAGCAGATACCTCTGAGTGCAAGTGCATTTGCTTTGCAAGGCTGAGGACGTGGCTTTGAACCTTAGGCATCCACACAACAGAGACGGTCATCTAGGTCTGTAATCCCAGCTCAGAGTGAGGCAGAAATAGAAGCATTACTGGGACTTGTTGGTCAGCCAGCTAGCTGAGAAAATGGGAAGGTAGGATTCAGTGAGAGATCCTGTCTCAGGGAGATAAGACAGAAAAAAACAGAGCAGGGCACCCAACATCTTTTTCTGGATTTTGCAGAATCATATACAGGTATGCATATCCACATATTCATGTACATGCATATATATGCACATGCGTATAAATAAGTATATATGTAAATGCATAAATATATTAGTTATGTAAATAAAACTGTTATATGGGCTGGAGAGATGGCTCTGTGGTTAAGAGCACTTGCTGCTCTTACAAAGGACCTGAATTCAGTTCTCAGCACCCAGATCTGAAGGTTCATAGCCACCAATAACTCCAACTTATGTTGTGCCCAGATTGTGACCCCCAGAGAGACCACCAAAGACAAGCATGCCGGAATGCAAAAGCAAGGTTTAATTCTCGATATCCAAAAGCAATACAAGCCTAGGCAGGGATTTCGTCCAATACATCCAACACAGTGGAGGCTGGAGGAAGCACCCGCCTGTCCGCAAGCTCAGTTTTTAAAGGGAAAAATCACAAGGTTACATCATTTAGGGGTGCTAGTACAGGTACAATTCTGATTGGCTCGCTTCTAGGGGCTTCTAGAAATTACTTCTAAGGGAGTGGTTGCCTGCCACCATTTCTCATTGGCTGCCCTCAGGTGGGGCCATTTTTATGGTCAGTTACCCTGGAAACCAGGGAAAGGACATTCCATAGTCTGGCAGGCATTACCTCGTGACTACCTTGTGACTCTGTACTTTTACACTTCCTGGTTTCTGGAATCTGAACTGACTTGTTTCAGTAACTATTGGCCTATTCCTAGAAGGAAAAATCTTAGGCCTTAGTTTTTGGGTGAAGGCATTTTGGTCTTATTTCTAAGATGGCTCATTTTGGTCTCACACTTACAGAGATCTGATAGCCTCATCTGGCCTCCTTGGACACCCCGACATATGTATTTGTACACATGTAAACACACATACAAATAAATATTAAAAAATAAATCTTTAAGAGTGCAGAAAACGTTCATGCCTCTTTTAATCAAAGTTGAAGTCTCAGCTACAGGATGAAATGACCAGTAACCCATAGTTTGGCTTTTAATAAACACAGGAAATCAATCATTAATGTTATAATATTGTATGCTTGCTATTGTCCCCCAAAATCACATTTGAAATTTAACTCCCAAGCAACAGTGTTTGAAGATGGGCATCACTGAAGCTGCTCATGTTGTCAAGGCTCTGCCCTAGGGAACAACACATTAATGGGTCCTTACCAACATGTGTGTATTGTTCAAATCTTGGGTGGTCTTTTAATAAAAAACCCAGAGCCAGACATTGGGGTGAAAGCTGAGAGATCAGAGAAGGAGAGCAAGCCACAGCCAACCTCACCTCCCCAACTCCTCAGCCATTCCTGTTTCCAGGAAGCCTCAGACTGAAAGCCTCTGAGTCATCACCAGAATTCATCTCAGTTGAACTGCCTTAGTTCCTGTTTCTTCACGCCTTATACACCTTTCTCCACCCTGCCATCACTTCCTGGGATTAAAGGTGTGTGTGCTTCCCGTTACTGGGATTAAGAGTGTGTTTGTGCTTCCCAGTACTAGGATTAAGGGTGTGTGCCACCACTCTCTAGTGGCTGGCTCTGTCCTCTGATCCTCAGGCAAGCTTTATTACAGTATACAATATATCACTACACGTGTGGGAGCCCATTTTCTCCCACCCTTCTTGTATCATGTAAGTATACAAAATTCATCCTCTCTTGTTCTTCCACCTTCTACCACTGAAGATGAAGCCAGAGGCTGTCTGCAGACGCCAGCACCTCATTTGGGACATCTCTGCCTCCAGAACTATTAGAAACCAACTCCTACTTTAATGAATTCTCTAGTCTCAGTGTTTCATTAGGACCATTTGTTATAAAGAGAAATTTCTTTGATGAGAGGTGCTGGCTAAGCTATTCTATATAATGTGTTTCCCAAGGAATTAAATGTTCCTAGACTAATCTTAAGTTATTTTTAACTATAACTTTCTCTTTATATTTTAATTTGCTTTAATTTATAAGAAAATTCATTTTGAAATATTTGAAAAATACTTTTCTTCTTAAATGTACTTATAGTCTCTTAAAAATTTATTAAAATACTGTTTAATGTAATTTAGAATCCTCAACATGGAAAATTATTATAAGTTGATAGCCTGTTAAAATATAAAAATGCACATATCAAAACATCATAGTATACTTCATTAATAGGCACAATAATTATGTTTTTGTGTATGATAAAAATTAATTTTAAAAAACTTCTTATGAAACAAGGAGAGATTCTAAAATGTTTAAAAACCTGAAAATTTAAAATAAATAGAAAATCTCCCAAAAGAAGTATTGTCTAAATGTTTAAGAACAGGAAATAGTGAAAGAGAGGGGTTTTAAAACACAATCACAGACCACTGATAAACAGAGATGGCCATGGTGTTTATTTTTTGGAAGTTCTAATTCCTGATCAAGACAATATGATGAGCAGTGAGATTATTCAGGCTGGATCCACACCGAAGTCTGGGAAATGAATCCCTCCACTGTCTAATTTCCTAATAAAAATTCAATGACTGCTCAAAACCGTGAGATGCAAAGGAATATTTTATACCGACTTTGAGCAAAAGCAACTGCAGAAAATGAAATGGAATTTATGAAAATAATAAACCAAGAAAAGGAAAATAAGAACTCTGATTTCCTATGCTTATTGGATTATGACCTTATGGCTAAGGTGTCCTCTCACAGGGCAAGAATGATACCAGATAAACACAATGGGACTCAAACTTTGATATTTCCCACTGGAAAAAAATGCTAGAAACGTTTGTGTTTAATTATACATGAGAGTCATTTCAAAGAAAACAAATACAGATGTTAGATATTATCTTTCACGTTTTTGCATGCTTTATAGCCAATCTTTAAAATCAGTTAGGAGCAAACTTATTGGAAAACACTAGTTTTTTATTAACAAAAATAAGAAGCTTTAATTACATTGAAAAAATAAATATGTTTTGTTACTAAGAGTGGAGCAAAGGAATGGAAGAAACAGCAAATGACCACTGGTGGTCGACAAAAGTAAGTACTGATATACAGTGAGATGTCCTGAATCTATCATAGTGCAAATAATTAGGCAACCACAACAACACTTCTCAAGGACCAAATAGCAGACTGATTACAGAGAATAACAGAAATTTTCTATTTTATGACAAATAATTTCAAAATTGATGCTAGAATGCCCAAACATGCAAAATTTGTTAAAAATAATAAAATAGTATTAGTAGTTGAGCTGCATATGTTATATAACTGATGTGCCTCTCTGCTTTGTTTCAGGTTTAATAACAAATGCTGGCCAGAGAACATGGCATAGCAAAACTGCCTATATCACAGGCCAAGAAGCAAAGAGACGACAGAACAGAGTGGATTCCTGTGTTCCCCTCAAAGTACGCCTCTCAATGGACTTAGGAATTCTCACTTCATAAAAAAGTATAGAGGAAAGTGGTAATTAAGGAACACGAAATATCTACAAAAGTCTGCTCCTATACTGGTTAAAAAACTTAAACAGTTGTTTACCTCACAACTGTTGTAGAACATTCTGAGAATCCATCACTTACTGTCACAGGCCCTCCATCCTTAAAAATAGACTCGGAGATTTAGGAACAGAAAGTATGTGCAGGCATGCTCAAGATAAATGCCTAGGAGGTGAAGAAACAGAAATGGAATATGGGGACATTAAAAGTTAAGATCCCTCTGGCTAACCCTGGAACGTGAAGCTTCTTCACAGTTGTTCTATACTGTGGCCTTGGGACAGGCCTTTGTATGTCTCTGTTCACCAATTGCTGACTTGAGCAACCCGGAAAAAAAGAGCATGATTTTATGAGTGACCTCTCCAACTAAGAGCAAGGCCTGGGAAGGAGCTCAGTCGAAACCTTTGCTGCCAAGATACTTAAGAGCCTGGGAAGACAAAACCCCAGTCCCTGGAAGTCAAACAATCTGGAAAGTAAACAACAGTCCCTACTGTTCTCACTGTCTTTAGAGACACCCTTAAGAGTTGCTGTTCGTGCCTAACTATAGTTGGTGGAAGAATCAGATCAGCCAGCAAATCAGATTCACTCTTGTCCTTTCTCCAAGATTGCAAAGCAATGAAGGAGGTACCCTGTTAATGTACCCCCTCCCCAATTCTTTCTATTTTTTTGTTCCTCCCAGAGCAGATAAATTTAGCAGACTAACACATGCCTTCTCCATGTTTTGAAATAATGCTGATATAAAATAGCCTATTTTTTTTTTGCTGAGTCAGTCCAATAACAAACAGTGCAGCTTGAACAATATGACTCATGATTTCACAAAGTCTTACGTACATTACTGTTTTTAAATTTATTTTATTATTATTATTATTATTATTATTATTATTATTATTATTAATTTACATTCTGACCACAGTTTCCCCTCCTTCCTCTCCTCCCAGTCCTTCCCCTCCACCTCTCCTCACCATCCACTCCTCCTCTGTTTCTATTCAGAAAAGGGCAGGCTTCCCATGGATATCAACCAAACATGGCATATTAAGTCACAGTAAGACTAGGCACCTTCCCTCATTTTAAGGCAAGTAAACCCAGTTTGAGAAGTAGGGTCCCCAAAGCAGGCAAGAGTCAAAGACAGCCTCTGCTCCCACTATTAGGAGTCCCACCAGAAGATCAAGCTACACAACTGTAACATATATGTAGAGGGCTTAGGTCAGGCCCATACAGGCTCCCTGGTTGTTGGTTCTGTCTCTGTGATCCACTTGAGTCCAAGAAAACTCTGTGGTTTTCTTGACCCCTCTTGTTCCTGCAATCCTTCCACCCCTCTTCTGAAGGATTCCCTGATCTCCATGTAGTGTTTGGCTGTGGGTCTCTACATCTGTTTCCATAAGTTGCTGAATGAGGCCTCTCTGATGATAGTTGGGCTAGGCACCAATCTATGAGTATAGCAGAATATCATTAGGCATCATTTCATTAATGGTTTGTGTGTATGTGTGTCGATCATGTTTGACTCTATCCAAGGTCTCTGGACCATCCAGCTTCTGGGTTCTACCACCTCAGGCAGTGTCAGGGATAGGCTCCCTCTCATGGCATGGGTCTCAGGCTGGACCAGTCATTGGTTGGCCCCTCCCACAATTTCTGTGCCACCTTTACCCCAGCACATCTTGTAGGCAGGACAAATTGTAGGTAGAAGGTTATGTGGCTGGGTTGGTGTCCCAGTCTTTCCACTGGAAGCCTTGCCTGGTCACAGAAGATGGCCAGTTCAGGCTATGTATTCCCTATTGCTAGGAGCCTTAGCTGGAATTATCCTTGTAGATTCCTTGGAGTTCCCACTGCACTAGGTTTCTACCTCATCCCAAAATGTCCCTCCTTCCCAGTCATCTCTTCCAGTGTTCTCCCCCTCCTGATCCCACCAACCTGATCCCTCCTTTTCCCATCCCCATGTGGTCCCAGTCAACCTATGAAATCTATTCAATTTCCCCTTTCCAAGAAGAACCTATTCTATTTCCCTCCTTGAGCCCTGCTTGTTACTTAGCTTCTTTGGGACTGTGGATTGTAGTATGGTTATCCTTTACTTTACAGCTAATATCCACTTATGATAAGTACATACCACGTTTGTCTTTCTGGGTCTGAATTACATTACTCAAGATGATTTTTTTTAGTTCCATTCATTTGCCAGCAAATTTCTGGATGTCATTGTTTCTACAGTTGAATAGTACTCCATTGTGTAAAGATACCACATTTTCTTTATCCATTCTTCATTTGAGGGTCATCTAGGTTGTTTCCAGTTTCTGGATATTATGAATGAAGATGCTATAAACATAGTTGAGTGAGTGACCTTGTGGTGTGATGAAACACCCTTCATCAGTGTAGCTGGGTTTTGTTTGTTTGTTTGTTTTTTTTTTTTTTTTTGGTTTTTCGAGACAGGGTTTCTCTGTGTAGCTTTGCGCCTTTCCTGGATCTCGCTCTGTAGACCAGGCTGGCCTCGAACTCACAGAGATCCGCCTGGCTCTGCCTCCCGAGTGCTGGGATTAAAGGCGTGCGCCACCACCGCCCGGCTGTTTGTTTGTTTTTTACATAATTTCTTTATTGATTCTCCGGGAGTTTCACCTTATGCACCCTAATTCTGCTTACCTCCCAGTCCCCCCCTATCCTCCCGTCACCCCTGCAAAGCCCTCCAAAAGAAACTGCTAAAAAGATCAAACCAAAAGAAAACAAAGCAAGCAGACAAACAAGCAGAAACAAGAAGAAAACAAAACAAAACAAAAATCTCTTCACTTCTCCATCTTTCCCAAGTCTCCAATACCTCTTCATTCATTAATCCTGGTGGCATTGGGAGTGGTGTGTCACACCGCTCTACTAGCAAGTGTTCATTGCAATGAATCATTGGTATGGTCCAAGGTCTCTGGTTTGTGATATACCTTATCACGGGATCCTCACTGAAACTCCTCTGGGATATCCAGTGGCCACCCTGAGTCAATAAATGGACTGTGAGTATCGTTCCACAGGACCTGGCCCTTCATGAACTCCAGCAGGTCCTAGATGGGGTAGATGTTAGGGTGGGCCAACCCAAGGCCCAGCTGTAGACCTGGGTGGCAGCTGAGCTAATCAGTCCAGGCCACTGGGGCCTCCTGCCTTAGGTGAGGGGGTAGAGCCAGCTCTCCTATGCCATCAGGGTCAGTTCTCCCTTGCCAGTGGTGAGGAGTAAGGCTGTCTCTCCGGAGTTCAGGGACTGAGCAGCTCACCTATGAGAGTTAGGGACAGTTTTCCTGCTGTAGTGTTCAGTGAGAGGCAGGGCCAGGTTCCCCAGGGCCAGCAAAGGGCGGGACTGGCTCAGCATGGCCCTCCGATTTCATCACACATGGTTCCTATGGCCCCCTGAGGTGACACAGGTCACAGACATCAACCCAGACCACAGCTGCAGCTGAACCACAGACCCAGACATGGCCAGCAGCAACAGCTTGCCCAGATGACATTCTGGCTCCTAGTAGAGGCACTGGTCACTCAGATCAGGATGGCTCTGGTAGCAGCATGGTCCATTTATTGAAGTTGCTTTTTTTTTCCCATTGTATAATTTCGGCTTCTTTGTCAAAAATCAGATATCCGAAGGCATGTGGATTTACATATGGGTGTTCAATTCAATTCCATTGATCCATCTGTCTGTTTTTTATACCAATATAATGCAGTTTTTTATTACTATAGCTCTGTAGTGGTCTGTTTTTATACCAATACAATGGAGTTTTTTTTATTACTATAGCTCTGTAGAGGAAAGGTAGCCATGTTTACTATGTTAATCCGACTGATCCATGAGCATTTTCATCATCTGATATTGTCTTCAATTTCTTTTTTCAAAGACTTGAAGCTCTTGCCATACAGGTCTTTCACTTGCTTGGTTAGACTTACACCAAGCTATTTTATGTTATTTGTGGCTATTGTGAAGGGAGTTGTTTCCCAGATTTCTTACTCCACCCATTTAGCATTTATATACAGAAAGGCCACTGGTTTTTTTTTTTTTTTTTTTTAGTTAATCTTGTATCCAGCCACTTTGCTGAAGGTGTTTATCAGCTGTAGGAGTTCCCTGGTAAAAGTTTTCGGGTCACTTATGTATATTATCTTATCATCTACAAATAATGATACTTTGCTTCTTCCTTTCCAATTTGTATCCCCTTGTTCTCCATTAGTTGTCTTGTTGCTCTGGCTAGACCCTTTTGAAGTACTATATTGAGTAGATATAGGGAGAGTGGACTAGCCTTGTCTTGTTCCTGGTTTTCATGGATTGCTTTGAGTTTCTCGCCATTTAATTTGATGTTGGCGATCAGTCTGCAGTAAATCACCTTTACTATGTTTAGGCATGTTCCCTGTATCCCTGATCTCTCCAAGACTTTTATCAGGAAGATGTGTTGGATTTTGTCACGGTTTTTTTCAGTATCTAATGAGATGATCATATGTTGATGTTGTTGTTTTTCTCTTTCAATTTGTTTATGTGGTAGTGTAAATGAAAACTGGACTTTATGTAGTGTTTTTTTATTCAAAAATCTAAATAATTACTTGCATCCTTGCAGGTCCAGATGAGTAAATGGGTTTGGAAAAGATGACCAGAAATAATATATATTGCCTCTAAAATCTGAAACAGCAAGGTATGTATCTTTCACTGATTAGGGTGGAATGTCTTGTCCTTTATCTCAGCATGGTTACCTTACCATCACCACCAAAGGTTTCATCGTTATGGCATACCATTGAACTTTATTAACATCTGTCTTCTGTTATTTGGCATGAATATTTCTTCACATGATATTGTCCAGTGCTCAACAATTCTATCTGCCATTTTTAATTAGTGTAAAGACCTCAATGTAAGTACTTGAGAAGATAACCCAGACTACATTTCCTTGACTCCCCATATCCACTGAATCAAAGTCTTCATTTTAAAAGGTACCCCAGATGATTCAAATGTGCATCAAACTTGAGAAACACTGCCAAAGATCCTATTAGACAGGTGAGCAGGCATGACACAGTCTTAAGACAAATGTAGACAGACACATGTCTGTTCCAAGTAGATAAATTTCTTCAACCTCCACATAAGGACATTAGACTAGCCAGGCAGTGGTGGTGCACACCTTTAATCTCGTCCCAGGGGAGGCAGAGGCAGGCGAATATCTGTGAGTTTGAGGACAGCCTGGGCTACAGAATGAGTTCTAGGACAGGTGCAAAGCTACACAAACAAAACAACAACAAAAAGAACACTAGACTATTCCCATCATGGTTATTTTCTTATCATGAGATAGTTAGAAAAGCCAAGTAATAAACTGATACTTACAATAAACTTTGCTGGTCTTTAGACTTATATCACCCCATGAATTCATGAGATAGAAGATAACATCAATTCTGCAACAAGCCTTCTAATTCTCCACAGGTACTCATAATTATCTGTTAGTAGCTTGTGCTTTTATGTTTCTATGATCATACTTCTAGAATTATAAACAAATTGAGAGAACCCAAGAATCTTATAACTGTTGTAACCATCCCTACCAAATACTCCAAATACTCAGTCTCTCTCCATCTGTATTTCATCTAATGGTATAACATAACATGCAGTGCTGTATCTTACCATGAATTGTCCATATTCCATCTCCTAGAACAAAGAATTTTTCTCTCTGTACTATTTGCTTATATTAGCAATTCCTTTTTAAATTTTTGTTTTGAATGTCTCCACCCTAAAGCAAGTTCCTCAGTCAAATACCTTATTAGTTAAAAATCAAATAAAATAACTGAATCCTTAAGTTTTCCAAGAAAGGCAGAGTCAAACTAGGATTTGAAAGCAGATAAAACAAGAGGTTACTGCATTGCATCAAGCCTAGTGGAAACAGGCAGTTAACACCTGGCTCGGATTTGGGGAGGCAATGCAAGAAGTTCTCCACAGAAGGGGAAAGTGTTATAGAAAACATACCTTGAATGGAATTAAAGTTAGGGGTGAAAGCAAGCCATCCATCATCACAAAGGAAGAAAGTAGACAATACATATTCTGACCCTTTAATTATCCTTCCTTCTTAAGTACATCAGGAGTTTCCATTGGCCAAACATCAGAAGAATGTAGTGGACCAGAAAGCCCATTGCTGTATTCCATTTCATTCTTCTTAAGGCAAAGAATAAAGTACAAAAATGTGGAGAATAGATCTATAGGTGCAAGCATTACTACTGAGTACACTGCAATTCAATATCGAGATTACAATGAGAGGCTTAATTATCAAGAAGACATTTTATGCCAGAGTAAAGTAAATAATAAATTAAGTTTGCTTACTAAAAAAGAGAACAAAGTCCAGAATGTCAATGAGATAAAAGGTCAACAATATCAAGTTAATTTTTTAAGATTTGTTTAGTTTTATTTTATGTGTATGGATGCTTTGCTTGCATTTTTGTCTGTGCACCATGTGTGAACATTGATTACAGAAGCTAGAAGAAGGCATAAGATCTCTTGGAACTGGAGTACCATGTGGTTGTGAGCCACCAAGTGGGTGCTGTGGTTCAAACTTGGGTCCTCTGGAAGTTATGAGAGCCTGACGTTAGCACCAAAAGAGTGACATTTCTTTTATTTCTTAAAACCAGTTTTGAGTTCCCCTTCACCAAGGCACCTGCTTGGTCTAGGAACACATAAAAAGCAAAATGTTACCTGGATTTGCAAGGAGATTACAATCTAGTGAAGACATAAAAACAGAAAATGTTACTCCCCGTAACAAGTGTTATGTCAGAAGTAAGCACGAGACCTTAATGAAAGAACTTAGGCAGACTGTTAGATGCAGGAAGTACCCAACTGGGTTGTCTGTCTAGACTGTTAAGGGTTCGAAAGCATTAACTAAGAATTGTGAAAAAAATCAAATCATTCAGAAGAAACATTAGTGTGCAAAACACAGAAAATTGTGAAAGTTTCAGTCCATCATGTCTGAGACGTATGCACATTATATAATACAACTGGACATGAATATCCATGTGGTTAGTAACAAAGTCACAGCAAGACCTTTACATGGTAAAAAAGAAATACATGTATACCTCCCCTTAAACTCTATAGAGAGTGAAGAGGGAAGATTTAGGAAAATGTGAGACTTTTGGAATAGGCTGGATCTGAAAGGAAATTCACTTGCTCATTGAATTTTTCTTCCTAGACAATACTAAAGATACCATGAAAAATCTTCTGGATTTAGACTCTACGTGTGTTGCTAGAGGTAGTTAGCACATGATGCTCTTGCAGAAGATCTGGGTTTACTTCCCAACACCCACACTGGGCAGCTCACAGCTGCCTACATCTCCAGTCCCAGGAAACTCAACACCTTCTTCTCCTTCTCACTGGTTGAATACGGTGAAAAGAAAAGACACACAGCCAGGCACACACACATACACATAAATAAAGATAAATATTAAAAATCTTTTTATCTTTTTTTTAGATTTTAAGATGAACTTTATTTTAGCATCACAGAAAAAAATAAGAAATATAAGAAGTTCTTAAGCCCAGTTCCCTCCATTCTCATTGTCTTATATTGTTGTAACACACTTGTTATAATTAAGAAAACAAATTTGATATATTTATTTCTTTTTGGTTTTTAACAACAGGGTTTCTCTGTGCCACAACAGTCCTGGTTGTCCTCCTTGTTTAGAGTTCACACTAATGATGGCTGCCCACCTGGTCTTCTTTCTGAGAGCAGGTAACTAGTTTATGCTTAAGTTTTCAAATATTACAATCATATTCCAAATTTTCCCCAATCACCTCAAGTAAAGTATCCAGAAGCTGCTCTTTAGTGTGCTGATATTTTATTTGTGCTGAAATGTGATATTTTATTTGTATGTTAATAAAGTTGCCTGGCTAGCTCAGTCCAGTAGGTAGAGCATGAGACTCAATCTCAGGGTCATGGGTTCAAGCCCCACGTTGGGCACCATTTGTAGCTGAAGTTTTCATGTGTTCTGGTCTGCCGGCAGTCAGGACAAATCTCTCCCACTAGCATCCCCCAAATAAACACACAGAGGCTTATATTAATTAAACTGCTCGGCCATTAGCTCAGGCCTACCATTGACTAGCTCTTACATTTAAACTAACTCATATTTCTTATTTACTTTTAGCCACGTGGCTTGGTACCTTTTCCCAGTTCTGCCTTTACATCTTGCTTCCTCTGTGTCTGACTGGCAACTCCTGACTCAGCCTTCCTGTTCCCAGAATTCTCCTCTCTCTTTGTCCCACTTACACTTCCTGCCTGGCTACTGGCCAGTTCCCAGAATTCTCCTCTCTCTTTGTCCCACCTATACTTCCTGCCTGGCTACTGGCCAATCAGCACTTTATTTATTAACCAATCAGAGCAACACATTCATAGCATACAGAGCAATATCCACAGCACTTCAGTCCTAAATTTATATATTATTTTTCCAGAGTTAGTTAACTACATAGTCATTTACTAAAAGTGTTGTTACTATTAATTTCCTTAGAAATGGTAGACTCTTTTGAGTTTGAGAGGCTATCAATACAATTCTTAGGCTTTGATAACAATTAAGTAGGGAATACTAAAAAGTCCCACACCAGCTACAGAGGAAACTTATCTATTGGTGCATAGGAAGATTGATAGGCTGTTATTAAGTCAGAATAATAAAATAAAGATCATGAATATGCACATCATACATGGGCATTTGATAGACAGACAGATGTACCCATTCAGAGACTGAACCTTATTCCTTCTATTTCTGTTTGGAAATGGAAACAATCCTTAAAATAAGGAGAGTGAGTATATAATAAAGGAGCAATCAACCAGAATGACCAAAATAACAATGAACAGCCATAGCAAACACAGATGAAAGAAAATTGGAGCAAGAAAAATTGAAAGTCTTCCTCAAAAAATTTCATGTAGAAGTAGATGAAGACAGATGATTGAGGTGTGATATAAACAAAAGCAATCTGACTCATATTGAAGGGTGAAGAATATGAGGCCATCCTGGGTTACATAATGAGAGCTTCTCATAAGTAAAGAACCTTCTTTATTCACTCAAAAAATGGTAAGGTCATTTTAGGCATAAAGACAAAGTGCCACAGAAATTGAAGCTCAGTACTTGCAGAGGCTGTTATGACAAGAATATAGCAAGAATTTTACATCCACATTGACAAGCAATATTGAGAAAGAGCTAACCATAGCAATTGCCCTACTAGGTTACCAGGGAGCCTGTTCCACATCTAATCCTAGGGGAAATGATTTCAGGGTCATCTATCATTCCTTGAGACTGTGAAACTGAAATGGTCCAGATTGCGGGTGCACCTTCAGGAGAGGAAGCAATCATTTGCAACTGTGGAATTTTCAGAAGGAGTCCAGCGAATGTTTAAAATTGCAAATGTTGACATAAAAGCAGGCTAGCCAGCTGTGTAGCTAATAGTTCTCTTACTCAAGACATCAAGGAAAACTAGGGAGTTAAATTACCACAAAATCTCTATGCATAAGAAAGTATTAGAAAGAATATTTACTATAAGAACCTGAAGGCATGGCAACAGCATTAATAGTTTAATAGATATTAATAGTGATTAATCCTTGTCCAGCGCCCCAGGGAGAGGTGGATCTCCATTTGCTACAGTTGCCCTTTTGCCATTTACCATTTGGGATCTTCAAGTGACACCCTTTTATAATTGTAGAAGATTATGAATAAATATATTTTCTCCATTTAATTTTCTTCTTAAGCATTGCCTTGATACTTTCCTTGCCAGACAGTAATAGTTTTCCTCTTAATTACAGAGCAAATAAGCATTATAACAATATCAGTCAATTAGATTTTCATACTATTGACTAGAGAACAAGTATCTTTTTTTATTTATTTATTTTATTTTTATTTTGCAATACAATTCAGTTCTACATATCAGGCATGGATTCCCTTGTTCTCCCCCTCCCGCCCCCCTCACCTTCCCCCCAGCCCACCGGCCTTGCAGAACAAGTATCTTATGTTATGTTAGAACCTTGACACACATCCTACTCCAGCTTTCACTCATTTGTCTCCAACTAGGTATTAACCAAAGCAAGTTAATCAGAGTTCTTCCCTAGGATTTTTTTAACTCAACAGAGGCAAATTAAGTACTTTCTTTCTTTGAAGGAAGTATAAGTTATGACTCTCAAGAAGCATGAGTAGCCATGTGCCACCAGTTTCGTCAAGAGCTTCTGCAATGAAAGGGAAGGATGATGAGATGGGAAATTACAGCATCTAGCTCACTGGATCAGGAGGCTTCAAAGAAACGATACATGGAAACCTAGTCTCCCCCAGAGTTATTTGCTGCATATATTCTATGTTAAGACAGTCTGTACAAAATTGTGAATGCCCACAATGCAAAAACAGGAGATCCATAGAAATCTCCCATCCAACAATAATTAATAGACATTTAAAATTGAGAAAAAAATCAGATTCCAATTGATGATCAAGAAACACAAGGATTCAGATGTTACAGTCCTGGGGAAATGATCCAACCTTTGAAATACATAAGACTGTTGTTTGGCACAAGAAAATTACTTCTACTTTAGACATGGTGGATTCGAAGTAAGAGACAGTGGAATTATCCAGTGGCAAAATGGAAATAAATTCAGTTGATGGAGAAATATTAAATGCTGATTCTAGTAATATTGTGACACTTATGCAAAGACCAGGTAAAATTTTCTTTACTTCATTAAGAAATTTGTTGAAACCTAGATATTACACACACACACACACACACACACACACACACACACACACACACACACCTATATATTGTCATTGGCTGCTTCTTTTATTAAAACGATAAAGTTTAGTGGTTATAACAGTGACTATGACCCACAAAGGCAAGCATGCTTGCAATGTAGCTTTTACAGAATGGTTTGCCTGGCCCCATTTCTACACTCTTAATTTTGTGCAATATTTGTGTCCTTTTGAATTCTTCTTGTACAGTTCCTCTTCATCAAAGTCATTTGTTAAGTACACAAAAGTCAGTTCTCTTATACAAACATTTAATGTCATTAAACTACATTAATGTTTTCTCCAGGGTTTTGGCATCCACCTATTCAAAGTGTGTGTCGATGAGTAATTATAATCCAGTGAGTTCTGTGCTGTATCAATGACACAACTTTCAATACCAGAACGAGGGAACAAAAAAAAATAAATGGAAAAGAATTTATATGTCCATGCAGAAAATATAGTATAAGAAGAGCCTCAAAGGACAGCTGAGGCATGGACAAGAAAAATATCATCGTTGGTGAGGATGTGGGAAGAAAGAAAAGGGGTAGAAAACAAGGTGGGCACTTAGAATAACAGGGAAGAGGTTAGGTTCCAGCTGCAGGGAAAGACAAGCCTTTCACACTGTTATGTGATCCAAACTCTGCTGAGAAGGCTGAACTGTGTTGTATGTGTATTATACAGAGCAAGAAGGGAAAGTGAGAGTCAGCAAAAGGAATGCTGAGATAACCTGCTGTGACAAGCAAAGCAAATGGGAAGCGTGTTGGACAAAAATAGACTCTACAACCTTGTGGCTGTTCCTGATGTTGACAGAGGCAGAAGACATGCTTAACATGGAACGTTTATTACGGTGATGTCAGAAGATGGTATTTCTTGCTCAGGGATTCAGTCCAAGGTTATGATTTACAAAAGACAAAGAAAGATATGTGACTGCAAAGGGTGTTGAAAAATAGACAATAAAACTTTATATAATGCAATTACATAAATTTGAGATAAACGTGAAATGCTCTCCTCAGAATAATATATATTAATTTGATATTGATTTTTTTAAAAATGAATGTGAGGTAAAAGATATCCTGTAGTCGCCTCAGGCTGTGACACATAAGTAATGATCTCATACTTGTTTACTTTCAATAAAAGTCTTGACTATGTGGTTTTCAAAGACTTCACAATGTTTTAATATTGTATATCCTTTAAATGTTTCAAATATATTTTAGTTATCAACTGCAGAAAGTAAAAATAATTGCTTTACAGAAGTGCTCTGAGAATTCAATCATATGTTAAACATTATCATTTTATACAAATAGACATCTATGATTTTTACAACTATTTTAGAAATTTTGACTTTACATTGTATCATGCCACATTTGTATAATTTTTAAGTAAGTTTGTGAAATTACAAGATGAGGCACAGTACCATTGTCATTTACACAGTTAACTAGAACTCATTTTTTATATATATTGGTGATAAATATTTGTGTTTATAGAACAGGAATAAATGTTTCTTAAATGATAGACAGAAATAAACAACATACTGCTTCAACAGAGGGAAAACATTTATAGATAAAATAAATACATAAATTTGTCAATGCAAAAAATATTTTCCATTAAATCTTACTCCCCCCCCAAAAAAATTTAATCCCCATGTTTTATATTAGTGTGGTTATTTACACCATTTCTGTCATGTGGCAGCTACAATTTTTAATACACAAACTTGAGTGCTCAAGAAATCGCATATTATCTGCCATTATCTCAATTTTATTTCTTTCCAGTTTACTCTCTCTCCTTCAGACTTAGGATTACTTCCATCCTCAAGACAACCTCTTAGTTCCATCATCTTGACTCAACACCAAGACACAATGGGAGAGTGTTCACTTAAGGTGCCAGTCACTTCTGCCCACAGACATCCTCATCCACATGGCTTGTTCAGGTCTTCCGTCCTTCTTCAACTTCCAGAACTTGACGAAGGCCCAGCAGTCTTTGAGAGGCCTTGCCTCTTCTCAATAGAATTGCTAACTGTCAGCGCTCCTTCAGCCTATTTATTTTACTTACTCTGCAGAGGGTACTTCTTGGGAAAGAGAAGATAATCTCTCCCGAGGAGTCACAGTCCACTTACTCATTTCATTCATACCACAGCAATTTCTTTTATGAGTCTTTAAGATAAATGCTTCTTTAAACTGCTCTGGCTACCTCCTTTCCTGTGGGAATCCAGCTGCTCAGGAGCATGAGTCAGTGGCTTTGGAGCTAAAAATGTACTTTGTCAGCATATCCAGTGTATTTTGCAAGTCCTGTGCCAAGAAGAGAGGACCGAGAAAACAATGTGATTAAAGACAAAAGGATTGAACAAATAAGGCAGTTAATCCACAATAATGGAAATTGAGTTTCTAATGTTGGAAAAGTAAGTACAATATGAAAAGGAGGAAAATCTTGTGTCTGTTGGAGACTTATCCATGAATGTACAGTTTTTTAGAAAAATCAGTAAGAATGAAATGGATGATTTGTCTATAAATGGATACATTTTCCAGTTAAGAAGTCTTAAACCAGGAATATTCTGTGTCTAATGAATACACACTGTGTCAAGATTTTGGTTTGTAAATTCATTCTCCGATTAAAGAATCAAGTTTGTTGCCACTGTCATTACTGTTTAAATGGCTGGTTCTAGGTCACAGGTGAGGAAAACATGAAGCTAATTGAAATGGTTGGGTGTAACTCAGTGGTGGAGCACCTAACTAGTATGTGAAAGGAACCCCAAACCCATAGATAAAAGGCAAGATTAATTCGTAGAATTTTATGCAGAAAAATATGAATAAAGTCATTTGAAGACTAGATGGAGATATCAAAAGAAGAGAGATGTTGACTTGAAAGGCCCCATTGATTTTAGCTGGAAAATGGTTAGCATTAAAATAATAGTAATAGCAATAATAATAGTGCACTATAACTACTTGAATAAATTTGGATGAGAGGAAATCGCTGTCTTATTGTATAAGGTGAATGAATACAGACAGACTAGAAGAATAAAAAATTACTATTTTGAAATTCTTTCCTAAATGTTGAAAAGAGAGCCAATGAGATGACTCAGGGACTCCTGGCACTCACCACCAAGCTTGATGGCCTGAGTTCCATCCCTAGGACACACTACAGAAGAAGAGAACTGACCCTTGTAAGCTATTTCTGACCTTCATACATGCACTGTGGCATGCATGTGCTCCCCACAACAATAAATAATAAAGAAAGAAAGAAAGAAAGAAAGAAAGAAAGAAAGAAAGAAAGAAAGAAAGAAAGAAAGAAAGAAATAGGAGATAGATGATAGATAGATAGATAGATAGATAGATAGATAGATAGATAGATAGATGTAATTTTAAAAAAATCATAATGGACAAAAGATATAGATAAATAATTTTCCAAAGAATAAATGTCAATTGTGGTGGAACATGCATATGAACCTAGCACTCTGGAAGCTGAGACAAGAAGCAAGTTTGAGGCCGGCCTGGGCTGTGTAGTATAACACTAACTCAAAGATAGAGCATAAGAAGAGCCAATAAGCACATCATTAAATACTCAATGCCATTATTCTCAATTGAAATACAAATAAACACAATGATATGCCACTAGCATTCCTGTCCAAATAGATGAAGTTAAAAGAGACAGATATCCCTAGTAATAATGGATACTTATCCTGAACTGGCCCATCTTCTGTGACCAGGCAAGACTTCCAGGGGAAGGATTGGGACACTAACCTAGCCACACAAACTTTGACACTTTGACCTACAGTCTGCCCTGCCTATGGGATGGGGGGGGGTGCAGAGACTGTGGGAGTGGCCAACCAATGACTGGTCCAGCCTCAGACCCATATCATGAAAGTGAGCCCACCCCTGACAGTGTCTAGAGTGCCAGTACCCAAAGGTTGGATGGCCTAGAGACCGAGGATAGAACCAAACATAACTGGAGAAAAAAAAAAGGCAACATAATGATGCCTAATGATATTCTGCTATACTCATAGATTGATGTTGGCACCAATAAAGCAGTTGTCATCAGAGAGCCTTCATCCAGTAACTGAGGGAAACAGATAAACAGATACAAAAACATACAGCCGAACATGAAGCCAAGTTCCGGGAATCCTGCTGAAGAGAGGGAGAAAGGACTGGACAAGCCAGAGGGGTCAGGACATCACAAAATAAACACACACACACACACACACACACACACACACACACACACACACACACACAAACTAACCTGGGATCATAGGAGCTCACCAAGTCTGAACCAACAACCAGAGAGCCTGCATGGGACTGACCTAGGCCCTCTCTATAGATATGTATGTGACAGTTGTGTAGCTTGGTCTTCTTATGGGACTCCTAGCAGTGGGAGCAGAGGCTGTCCTAATGCTTTGGCTGGCTTTTGGAAGCCTATTCCTCATACTGGGTTCCCTTGCCCCACCTTAATACAAAGGAGGAGCTTAGTTCTGCTGCAACTTGACATGTGATACTCATGGGAAGCCTGCCCCTTTCTGTACAGAAACAGAGATGTGGACGGGTGGTAGAGGGATGGAGGGGAGTGGGGAAGGAAGTGGGAGGAGACAGGGGATGGGAAACTGCTGTTGGGATGTAAAATAAGTAAATAAATTTAATAAAAAGAGATAGACATCAATGAGTGTCAGTGGAAAAAAATGATACTTTTAGATACTGTTGTTTGGAGGACTTCAAAATTGTGTAGCCACATTAGAAAATACTTTCATAGCTTCTCAAAAGATTAAACATGGAATTACTATAGGACCAATCATTCCACTTATGGATATACAGTAAAAAAAAAAAAGACATTTGTCTATGCAAAACCTGGAAACAAGCATTTTGTAGCAGTATTATGCAAAACAGCCACACTCAACAGGACGTGGTGTGTTGTGCACTGGAACACTGTTGATTAATAAAGGGAAATGATGTGAGGATTTGTGCTCCACAACATAGAGATCTGGGGAACACACTCAGTAAAAGGAGCTAGTTGCAAAAGGCCATTTCTGGTATGAGTCTATTACCAGAAATGTCAAAATATGCAAATCTATGCAGACAGATTACTCATTACCTATGGAAGAAACAGGAAGGATAGGGGATTGTGGATAGAATTTAAGAACTATGATTTTCTTTCTGTTGTTGAGATAAGAAAGTTCTCTATAATTGATTGCAATGATTCCTGTAAACCTATAACTATACTAGGAACTCTTGAAATGTCCAATTTAGGAGACTCAATGGCCTGATATAAGAATTACATTTCAGAAGAGTTATGGAACATTTTTGAAACTGAAAGTATAGCCCACATTAAAATTTTTCTTCCTATTTTTTATTGTTTTCATGAACATAAAGCCCCATGCAGTCCTCTAACAAAAATCCCATCCTTCAGTCTAGATCTAGAATTATGGCAAGGAAAACACTATAATTGGATTTCAAGATAACAATATTATCTTGAAGTTTCTCTCTGCAGCCTGAATTTCTTTGCTTACACATCAGTTTTAGCATGAGCTCCAAAGAAGCCCCAAGTGCAGATTCACACTGCAGGTGATAGGTAAGAATTACAGTAACTTCCCAAGTTTGAGACATCAGATTCTATGGGCAGTTCATGGCTATCTTTTGCTAGACTCATATTGTTCCTTGGAGGGCAATGTACAACTCTAAACTTTCTTTGTTCACAGGGCCTTCTTTTCTTTGAAACACCCAAAGCACATGTAAAGAGGTCCCTGATAAAAAACATTTGCATAGCTATTATGTCATATGGCTTGTCTTTGATATAAAGCCAGTTATCTGGTGGCACTATGGCATGTTGTAATTATTCTTTGAAGAAACACCTGATTCATACAAACAGAATGGCTGCACACTTGCTATGTTCTCAGTGACTGATTCCTGACAGTTTCCATAATCTTTTCACTCCAGGGTCAACTCCTTAGAACTCAGGATTCAATGAGCAATGTGGGGGAAAAAATGTGGTATTCTTCATGATGTTATCCTGCTATTGAGTTAATATAAAAAAGGGCAGACACCTCTCTGTGTTTTACATATAAGGTGTAAAATAACAATTTTAATAGTATGACTACTGATTTTATGCAAACAAGATAGTTCTAGAAACCTCGCTCCGGTGTGTGTTCTTACTGAACTCTGTTACTAAGACCTACAGCTTGGCAAGCTCAGAGTCCCATTTTCACTACTGAAAACGTTGAGTGACTCTAAAAACGATTTCCAAGACCTCTTGGTTAAATGTTTAATATCAAGAAGTTCAGAACTATAATCAATTAATTGTATAGGGCCTATTGTTTTAAGGTTTAATTAAGTATATTTTGGCTGGAAATTCTACTTTTATTCCATTTTCACAAGACAGAAAAAAATTAAGACTTTAAAGATGTACTAAAATTGCTGTCCTAATGGCAATTAAATAACTAAAATTATAAGTATTTTGGAAATAATTTAATGCTACAAATGATATTTTGTGGCATTGCTTGAAGTTAGTAATCTCTCCATGAATACACAATCTTATAGTCATCATTAATTATTGCAGTACCTTAATTTTGAAACAATAACTACAGATTTCAATTATAGATGTACTTTCAGCAAAGAAAACATTTGAGAAGATTTTTCCATAGCAGCTTTGATATAGAAGGATTTGCTCACCTCTAGTGCATATTCAGACATCAAGAAAAATTCAAATTATACACAAGTTTGTGTTTGTGAAATTAGATGTAATGATAATTTGTTAGTAAATGACTATTAATAATACATTCATTGGGAATAAAAAGTGCCTGTGTATGAAGCATTTTGATTTAGAACTAGTATCACAAATACTGACAATCAAAGTTAAAGCTGATGAGGTTATTTGTGGTTAATCACCAAAACCAAAGATGAACACTGGTGTGCACCAAAGAAAGAAAGTAGAAAACCAAAGTACTGCATGGTCCTTTGCTTAGAATTTGCCAGGCAGTGTTTCAAGTCGCCACCCAGACATTTCCATGAAGGGAAGTGTGTACCTTGCCATTTGTCTCCAGGAAATACATATAGAGAGAAAGAGAGCTTCTTAATGTTGGATTTTATAGGTAGGCAACATGGTTAATAGTTATTTCCTGGTATAGCCACAGAAATTTACTAACATCTGCCTTCTTTCACAACTGTAGTTCCACCAGACAACATGATTTTCTGACCACAACAAAGAGTTTTCAATATAGTTTCTGACGCTTTCTTTATTAAGTTTGTTTTTTATTGTATTCACTCTGTTTCTAAAATTGACAGGCTCCAATTAACTGAGCTGTTGA